CTTATGCTTAAGTCATTTATACATCATGGTTTAAAAGAATAATTACACAAAATAAAGTTTGACTTTTTTGAGCACCATAAGTATTAATCTTGAGCTAAAGGCTTTAAACTTTATTCATATAAAACAGTTTTACGTTATCCTACTCTGATAATTTAACTATAAGTAAAATCAAATTAAAACATATTTGCTATTATATTTGAGCATCACTTCAAATGTTAACAAAATACTGCTGTTCTTTCCCCTGCTGCACTAATTTAAGTGATACAAATTAAAGAAACATGTGTAAAAATATGTTAAGAAAGACGGCATGTAATCTCAACAACTTAATCTCCTAAATACTGAATACAAATTTTTTTTTCTCCAGTTTCCATAATTTACTTTTAATATATCAATGCAACTACGTATTGTATTAAAGTGACATGAACTAACTATTGACCTATGTTAAAACTCAATTTGTAAACTCATGTGCAGATTCAGACATGGGTTAGGGGATCATAACACATTAGATTATGCATGGTAAAAATATTCTGAATCTGAGTCTGAAACTTTGGTCAGAGGTTATAAATAAATTCAAAAAGCTCAAACTGAGTTGATCTCAGTTATTTGATTGGTCAGAAACTGCCACAGAATGTGCACTGACCAATGAAAATCCTGGGATTGAGACAAAACTCAGAAAACATAACCAATCAGTTTTATAACCCTGAAGGATAGCAGTTTTGTAGAAAGTCCTAGAATGACCTCAAATGAACCTTTGGGCAGCTGGTCCAACAGATCAGTTATCGTAAAATCACATAATAATGGGTCATTGAATATTTTTTCTGAACTAAGAACATAAAATAATGGTCATAAAATGGTATTAATACAGTGTGATCAGCTCATTTCAAGGGTATAAATGTCTGCGAAATGTTGCCGAGATGGTTATAAATAAATAATAAATTTGTGGAAATAATCTTTACTGTGAAAATAAGATTATTTAGTTTTCTGAAAGCAATTGTATGACCATTTCTTTAGAACAAGAATATTAGGTATGACTGAGAAAAGCTCCCCATGTCCCTGTCACAAAGCTGAAAGCAACCGCCTTTGCTATAATGAACAGAAATGAAAACTAAACTTTACCCTCAGTGATTATGGGCCATTGACCTGAAACATCATCAGATAAAGGACCATGAAGGGTACCAACACATCAAACATGTAAAATATCAGGTTATAATAAAAGGTGATAAGAAGTGTGGCAGGTAAAGAGAAGAACAAACCAGAGAATATGCTGCATGCTCAAAGGTAAAATTTTGTTGAACATAAAAATCACCATCATGTAAACAAAATAACATATATCATTTGTATTAAATGACACTAAACCAACACTGCTTTAATAATTGCTATATCTTTTTTAGCTAAGTTTTTAATGAAATACAAGATATTTTATCAAGATTTACATCAATATCCACTATAAATCAGACAATTTTGGTCGCTTTCCACATGTCTATAAATAGTTTACAAAATTTAATGCCAAGCTGTCCGGTGACAGAATTTGTTGATACTACAAACTATATCAAACATTTGCTTTGCTTATAAAGACCACAAAATCGTTATTATACTGAATCTTAAAGGGACTACACTGTGGTTTAAAAGCTTAATACATAAAATTGGATTTTTTACATAGATCAGCTGGGGCACTGAAAACAGAAAGATATGCAAAGAAATTATACTCAGAAATAAATTAAACACAATTAGAATAATCATTCTATAAAACCAGAGTGAGCAAATGATCTGAAATTTTTCACACAAGGTATTGGTCTATACCTACATCAAATGGAACATTAATCCTGAAATATTATTTTCTGTCCCGTCATGTAAAGAAACCTCAGTGGAGTCCCTTTAACAAACTAACAATGGACTGGCATAATTTACCTTTTCACCATTAACCATGACGCTGGGAGTTAAATTGAAAATTTCACATCATTTAAATCAATTAACTGCATCTACAAAAACTGGCTATCATTTTACATTGACATTATTAACTGACATTTCAATTCTAAAGTTACTATGCAACGATTTAAAATATCTTATAAAATATCTTTATAACCTTTACATTAATAAATTAGTTTCCGATTATTATAAATAGTCAATATCCAATTCTCAGCATGACTTAACCAACTTCTCACACAGAACAGCACAAGAATGCCACTTTCTTGTTATATTATTTCCAATTAGTTTCTTCTATACAATTTCAAAGTTCTATTTTAGTTGATTAAAATCACTTGCTTTTTATAGTGAAACGGTTATGTTCAACGGGTGGTGATTAAACATGTTAAAGTGTTATTTTCTTGTTAAATTATCAACTTAAATAATCATGCTTATCGTACTAACAACAAAAACAACACTTTGTGATGTGTTGTGGTTTTTTTAACCTATCTCAATCATGTCAAATGCATAGTGTAAATTACTGTTTATTTTGAAATTTGAACAAGCATTTATAATTTATACTTTTTGACAGGGTTTCATATAACTTTTAGGTAAAGTCAAATCATAATAAAGTTTACATGGCAACTTTTAGGTCAATTCAAAAATAAATCAATCAAGTTTATACAATAACTCAAGTTAAGCGCAAACTTTTCAGAATATATGTCCACCTTAAGGTCAAGTCAAAACTATTTTGTTTTTATGTCCACTGGTGGTAAGGTCAAAATTATCAAGTTTAACCGACATCCTTCAAATCAAGCTAAAAAAGCTATCCACTGTATATGGCCACATTTAGGTCAAGTTAAAACTATCAAGTTTAATTGACAACTTTCAAGTCAAGCTCAAACTGTTCAACTTATTTGAGCACTTTGTCAATAGGACCGAATACTTGACTATCTTTGGTACTTGAAAGTAAAACAAGAGCCTTGATATTGCAGAATGTTCTAAGTTCAAAAAAGGTCATAATTCTGTCACAATCCATGTTTCCATGTTTGAGTTATGGACCTTGGGTAGTGACTTTCTATTATGCTCTCAAATAATCGTGTGAGGTTTCAACCCAATTCCTTTAGTACTTTTGGAGATACCAACTTGCACACAAACACTGGTTAACAAAACTGTAACAACAAAAACTTTGGTTAAACAGTGTAATGCCAATGCCCAGGAGGTAAGTAAAATTCCTATGTCTATTCTGTGTTCCAGATACTGGTATTTATAAAAATGTTTAATTATTTTCCATGTGAATGAGCAACAACCTTTAGAAATACGGATTACTTTATTATGTCCCTTGTCTTACTGATATGCCTTGGCCAAATTAGCAAGAGTGATTTCAGTACAATGTGTTTGATAGTTTTCAATATGTTTTATCAATAACTAATTTTAACAAAAGATTCTTAGTGTTGATACCTTTGATAGTTTTAAAATCATTCTACTTTATTAGCAATTTTGACAAAAAAAAATCTAGGTGAAGAAAGAGGGAATAACTCCAATTTAGTTAAGCATTCAGAATACTAGTAATAGTAAGATTTCAGAATAGTCTAGAAAAGCCTTGCATCTGCACCTTGTCATGATAAGCAAGTATGCCAAATTTACATATTGATACCTTTAAAAGTGCTTGAGTAATGGGCTAGTGTAGATTTTTTTTAAGTTCAAAAAGGGCCATAATTCTGTCAAAGTCCATGTAAGAGTTATCAGCCTTGATCAGTGCTCTAAAATAAGTGTGTGAAGTTTCAAACGTTTCCCTTACTTTTGGAGATACCAACTTGCATGCAAAAACTTAACCAACGTGTAACATTGACACCTACACCTTGGTGAGTACAATAGCTCTCCATAATCTTTGAACAAACTAATCAAAATAGCATAAACAAAACTTCTAAGGCTGCAGTATTGAACAAAAATCAATTTGTTTATAAAAATCATATAGTTATAATTCATATGGGGGTTGGCCATTTTAGAAATTTAATAAGGGGGATAAGGTAGCAATTTAGGGACATTAAATCTGAGGGTGATTCGGTTGCCATTTTCGATTAAATCTATCTCAGAAAGACAAGACATGAAATCAAGACTCTGTTTGGACAACATAATTATGACAAATTCAATAATTTTGACCTTGACAGTCTAGGTCATTTAAAGCTAGAGATCAAGGTCAGCTCAACCTTTTAGAAAGCTTTGTCCAAAGGATTATTTTGTCCAAGTATGAAGATAATCCTTTGATTAATTAAAAAATTACAGCCAATTATATCAAAATCAAAGAAAATTCAAGTATTTGACCTTCAAGGTTTAGCATCAGTTAAGGTCAATTTGAGTCTGATATACACAAAGGTCTTATTCTAAAGTTTAATGTGTCTAAACATGAAGTTAATCCACTTATACATAAAAGGTTCAAACCAGTAAAAGAAATAAAGACAAGAGAATTTCATATATTTGATCTTGATAGTCAAGGCCAATTAAAGGTCAAGGTTGCATCTAAGTTATGCAATATGTGTGTTTGGTCACAAGTCTTGTTTTATTACAGTATAAATCAAATCTGTACGGACAAAACAAACTTATGATAATTTAAGCAAATTAAATAATTAGATCTTGATGGTCAAGTTCATTTAAAGCTCAAGGTCAAGGTCAGTTCAACCTATAAACTGGCCTTGTCCAAAATGTTGTTTTGTCCAAGTATAAAGATAATCAATTCATTAATTACAAAGTTTCAGTCAATTATAGCAAAAATCAGTGAACATTCAATAATTTAACCTTCAAGGTCAAGGCCATAATTGAGTTAAGGTCAATTTTAGTTTGATAGTGGGAATGTCTTAGTTTATTATACAAATGTTGTAATTAAAAACAAAATTTTGAGTTATTGTATGAGGGGATACAACTGTGTGTGTGTAGGGGGGGGGGAGCATAATTACAATTTTCAAGTTCTGCCAGAGAACTAATTGGAATTACAGCTTAAACATTAAGTACATATTGAAAGATATAAAAACTATGTTTATAAAATGAACATATCTCTAACATAAAACACATGGCAGTGATACTTAACAAAAACATTGTGACAATTTTACAGACAATCTTTATTTACAAAGACAATAATGAAATGAAATGAAAATGTTTCATGAAAAAATCCAAATGTGCTTTCCTTATGTATAAAATAGTCTAAAATAGCTGCACCAGACTTAACAAATGTCTAGTTTTTTTAAATGAAGAGTAAATCCTTCCATTTTCACAGTCTGAATGAATTGCCTGAATTTTTCAACATCTCTGTCAATTCTGTTTTGTTGTTTATTGTCACAGCTTCTATATACAGATACTTTAATGGGCAACACTCAGTTGTAGTTGAAATCAAATCTGAAATTATAATACAATTTTGTTTCATATAAACATATATAGGTTATTAGTTATAATAAATGAATATGCTGTTGGTAAAGATTTCTACAGCTTATTATTAACAGACTAAATCAACTGCAACTTGCAACATTTTAAAATTTTCTGGTTTGGGCATTTTAACTACATGTATTAAAAAAAAACAAGTCATTTTTCTAAACGAACTTGGTAGTGGTTATCAATACAATGATTTACACTAGTTACAGTTAGTGAGATGTTTAAAGGCTTTTCTTAGATAAGACTGTAAAATCATGTAATCGCCTAGTTTGACCATAGGGTTTGGTTTGAATAACTATCAATCAATATCCTAAATCTGAGAGAGTGGTTACAAAACTGATGTAATTTAAACTACATGTACTGTAATTGTGGAAGACAGACACACTGTGCGCAGCACTTATGACAGGCCAACAATCCTTACAGCACACCATGTGGACCATGTGCTCAGGTGAGCTTAAAAATTTAGTTTGACAAAGTTAAATTATTACTTTGATTTGTCAGTGATTTCTCATTTATAATAAAGAACAACATCCTTATTCATTCTATGAGGTTTTAATACCAAAACTCTATAATTTAGTGGCAACACTGTATTGATAGTGGTCAAGGATGTATTAATACTCCATAGCCAGCCAGACTTTATATTAATATTGATGGCATTAGATAAGTCAACATTACCGCAAAGATGCAAAAAGTAAAATTTAATACAGTGGATCAATAAAATGTACATCAAATTTTCTTAACTTATTCTTAACCATCATTTTTTTGCAAAGTATTAAAGCTATAAAACCCACACAAACAGTGAATTACTATATATTAAAGAAGAAACTATTTATCCTCTTTGTTCCACTGTATTCCTAGATTCTCCTCGAGCATAAATTACAAATTCTCCTGAAAAATTTACATTTTAACAATAGAAATGAGTACAGCTAACAAATTGTTTTTAACACATCAAGATACCCTCACAAGTATAATTGACTTAATTCTCCCCAGTTTTTTTTTCTTCCTTTCAACAGATGGCCAATTTGTAAATTGCATTCAGGGAGAGCTCAAAATAAGCATCAAGTGATACTCTTAAAACTTTTCTAATCCACTGGGACATTTGATCAACAATATTCCATTAAAAAACATGCTTCCTATTTTAAAAATAGATAAATCTCTCTATTTTAATTTTCATATTGTTTTTTCCAGCACAATGCCTTCATCTTGATAAGTGCATGTGTACTTAATGTTATCTTAGCTGTAAGAATGATGATCTTGGGAATTATTATAAACTGTGACATGTGATTTAACATATAATATGCAAATTTCCATGTTTTATATTTTTTTCTAATGACAGATTTGAGATAAGCATTGTTTTAAATTTTAATGATCTGGCGTATTTAGTCATGCGATTCAATGTTTAGGTAACTCTAATTATAGAGAACATGTCTTATTAGTCTCATAATTAATATAATTTCCCCCTTACCATGCTTAATAAATTTAATGGACTTTTACATCAGACATCACCTTAGTGCAGTAATGTGTTAACATCTTATATAATTAAATAGGAATTTAAACTCATTACTGCACTGAGGTGATGATCTTTCATCATTATTTTAAGGGATCATTTTGAAATATGTTTAAAATATTTATTGACTGAATATGGCACAGTGCAGACCATGATCAGACAGTACAGAAGTGGACCCAGTCATCTTGGTCTGCACTGTTTACATAGGTAGATTCAGGTAGCCACTACCAGGCTACGAGTTAAATCACTAGCCACTATACCAGGCTACGAGTTAAATCACTAGCCACCACCAGGCTACGAGTTAAATCACTAGCCACCACCAGGCTAAGAGTTAAATTACTAGCCACTATACCAGGCTACGAGTTAAATCACTAGCCACCACCAGGCTACGAGTTAAATCACTAGCCACTATACCAGGCTATGAGTTAAATCACTAGCCACTACCAGGCTACGAGTTAAATCACTAGCCACCACCAGGCTACGAGTTAAATCACTAGCCACTATACCAGGCTACGAGTTAAATCACTAGCCACTACCAGGCTACGAGTTAAATCACTAGCCACTATACCAGGCTACGAGTTAAATCACTAGCCACTACCAGGCTACGAGTTAAATCACTAGCCACTATACCAGGCTACGAGTTAAATCACTAGCCACTATACCAGGCTACGAGTTAAATCACTAGCCACCACCAGGCTACGAGTTAAATCACTAGCCCCTCACTTTTGTAGTCATTTTCATTAGAGAAAATAAGAATCCCTAAAGAAAGCCCATTATGGCAAAATTGAAGATGTTGCAGGTTCGGTTTGTCATTGAGCCTGTTCATGTACGGTACTGTCAAGTTTCATAATTATGAAGAAGGTATCCAGTCAGCAAACTTACAGACGTTCTATTCAGGTACAAACCCATGCCTGACATAATGTATGGAGATGCACCTAAAACCTCCCTTATATAATGTAATATCTTATCTAAAAGACTGTCATATATAACCTTCACAGCGTTGATGGGCCTAATGTCTTGAACACATTAATTTTCAGCTAACTATCCCCCTCAAAAAATATAGTCCTACTAATCAGAGACCTCGATGTTTATCCCTTCATAAAAAACACTATAATTATTATATAGTATAATTATGAAAAGAAAGCAATTTTAATTCCTATTAACAACTTAAATACACCACATTCTATCAATTTCATCAAATTGCTTAATCTAAATCAAAATTTCATTTAATTTTATTTCATCTAGACATACATAAAAAGAAAACAAAATAAAATGATAAAAAGAACACCTCATTAATTTATGTTATATTTTTAAACCGAACGTCTAAAATATTATGCATATTAAACATTACTTATAGATTGTTAAACACTTTATGAACACAACATAATTATCAAATATCACGCATGTGGGATCTTAACTATATGGATTGTAAAACACTTAAAAACACAAAATAATTTATCATGCTTGAAAAAGAAGTTTACGAACACATTTCGTCTGTATGTTACTACAGGTGATACATCAGTCAAACTTTCCTTAAATCTATACAGTAACTTGAGAAAATGAAGACTTAAGAAAACAAAAACTGCCAAAAACTAGACAAAGAAGGCAACTTTCCCCTATTCAACACCCTATAATCTGGGAACAAAGCATGTCAGAAACAAATCAGCCATCAACAACTATTGGATGCCGATCATCAAACAAGTATTTCACAATCATCTCATTCCGACCCCTTCGTACGACCTTTTAACAAAAATTATTCTACTAACGTGATTTGAGTAAATGCGATCTTTTCCGTGTAAATATTCTTTGGTTCACGGTATTGTTCACGATTTGATGCTTTCGTACAAATTAGATTAATTGTGCTGGGTATTTTGTGACTGGAATATTAATGACCGTTATATGGTCTAAGCAAGCTGGAGCGACAGATTGCTCAAAATTGTCCCGTTTTTCCCGTTTTGCTGTTTTAAGATTTGTTTTGTTTTCTTCGTTTGTCCAAGATCGATAAATTCTCTTGGGTTGTCATCTCTCTCAAATAAAGATATTTCAAAAATTACTCAACCAAAAAATGGCCATGACTGCTTGAAAACACTGTGATGAAAACGTGTTCTTTATTTGGGAATACTGACAAATTTCACTCCCCTTGTTTCCAGCTAATTTCACTCTGACTATGTGTTGCTTTCCTTAAAGAGAGATTTAAGATAATGAATATAAAAAAAATAAACACCAACAAATGGCCCTCTCTTTTAAAAAAGAATCTTTGCATTCTCATTTTTCATCTGTTTTATTATTTTAAATCATGTCCATTCTGACTGTCTTAATTTATTTCTCTTTATTATTGAACTTGAATTTAACTTGTACACATGTAATACCAATTTTGGCAATCTGACTTTCCTATTTCCTCAGATGCATCATTTGTAAACAAATTGACCACAATGCTTGACCAGTTTCTATTCAACAGTTTATTACAATGCTGCTAAATATAGGTAGCAATTTCTATATGTGTCCATAGATCGTTGTACAAGTGTCCCGATAGGCAGATGTCCATCCTCTGGCGAAACATCAAATTTCACACATGGATTGAATCTTTAATTAAAGGGTATGAATAGTTTCTACCGAGACTTTAAAGTAACGAATAGCTTCCAAGGTGTTGATTTATTTTTAGGTGCTTTACAGGTGGCTTCAGGCATTCAGCGTCAACGATTTTTTCCTCTATATATGGCATGATATCGCTCTGTCATACAGGAAGACAAATCAAACCTGTAATAAACTCTGGCAATCTAATTAAGTCACTATGGCCATTCTCTGTAATCACAACTCTAATTTTAGAAATTTTGATGCATCTTAGTTAATTTCTATCTGTTGAAGTGTCTTTAATCATACACAATTTTGCCCTTGGGGAGAAAAATTTTTCAATGAATTTTGCATATTTTGAATAATTGAGGTATAAAACAATATAAAATCATTGATAAAAATTATACAAAATTTTTTATTTATTTTTATGTGAATTAAGTCTTGAAACTTAAAGCATTGGCAGTGCTTTATAAGTAAACAAAGATGTCCATTCAAATACCAATAACTGCAAGCATCTTATCATTAAGAGGCAAATAAGAACAGTCTCTTTTAATTCTTTTAGGAATGGTTTACATAATACAACTTAATTCATTCATCTCCCTGGAAGGTCAGATTTATTATATAATTACTTGCATATTTTCACAATATTAATTAATGTTATATATTATAAAGTTATGTAAACTTTGATGCCAACTTGAGAAATAACTAATAATATATCATTACATAACATCCTCCAGAAATGATCCATAAAATATACATTTTTTCTCTGCAAATAGAAAGAAATATTCAATTTGTACATGAAATAGTGGATTTATTTTTACATGTATTATTCAAAAAGAATTCTAACTACTTTAATGGAAAACAATAATTCAACAATTTTTAATAAAAA